TTGTCATTGCACCTAGTACAATGAAATCAAACACCATCTTCAGTGCACATCATGACCATGACCTTGAAAAGAAACACAAACACACATCTTTCACCCTTCAGACATTGAACCGGAAACCCCCGACACCACACCAACACGGCACTATACGTGTCTCGGTAGGTGTATAGATACATATACACGTATATGTGTGTGTAAAACAGTTTTAGTGATCATTTAGTGTTTAGTGATCACTTTGTTTAGTGATCAAGTTACAATGGCACTGAAAAAAGGGACTTATGACATTTTTCACATTTGCGACCATTGCAGTATCCTCATAGTCACATGATCAAAATTCAGACGCCTGACAACCGGCACATATTTATGACCATTGGCAGTGTCCCAGGGTCCCTTTGTGACCTTCTGACAAGCTAAGTCAATGGAGAAGCCAGAACCGCGTTACTAACAACGACAGTGATTTGCTTAACAGCTGCGGCAAGGTAGGTCGTAAAATGGGTTAAAATTCACTTGACGGCTATCTTGCTTAGCCACAGAAATGTTGGGCTCAATTGTGGTCTTAAGTTGAGGACTATCTGTATATGAAAGAAAGAATACCAGAGAAGCCAAAAAAATAATAATCAATATCTAAGTGTTTTATACTTCAAAAGTGTACAGTTTACAGGCAGAGGTTGACAAAGCCGAGAGATCTTTCTAAATAGCATCTCAGCGGACTGGCTATCAAGGCTTCTGGTTGGAGAATGTGTGGAATTGCCTGGGTTTTGAGTGCAATTGACAAACTCCGATTTGTCATTTGTAGAGTTGATCCATTTAGATAAATTGGGGGGGGGGTAGGGGGGGAGCTAAGGCTTATTTTACTCCCAGCTGGTTTCACTGATGCAATGGCTAAAGTCTGGATCCAATTTACTCCGAGGGAGCACTCATGACTTTGGGCTGTCTCAACCAATAGATCATAATTGCAGAGACATAATACATCTCTTAACTGTGCTATGCAGAAAAATCTTTCACTGCCCTCAATACAAATAAGCAAACAAACCAACACACTTGCACACACTCATCTTTCTGGTCCTTGCATTGCTTATTCTGTAGGGTGAAGTCCAAGAAATACTATTGGGCTTCTTAACTCAAAGCCGGTTCCAAAAAACCATCACTGTGAAAATGTTGTTTATCACATAAAGATATATTTTTCATGGGAGGAGAATAAAAAAAAAGAAAAGAAAAGATCGTGCCAGATTATGAGCCGCACATAATATGAGCGGCAAGTGGTTGCCAACAGATTTGCACCAGAGGAAATAACTCAGCGATATCGTCACCTGCGGGCCAATTTATATTGTCAGAAAGTAGATTCTGCATTAGTCTCTGGAGCCAATGCAGTAATGGCATATTCTAGGAATAAAACACCGACAGCCTTTGGGGACACCCTCATCTCTTTTTCATAGGCGCGCTTCAAGATCCATTCAGAGCAAAGCATTAATAATAATATTTTAAACAGGGAGGATAAAAAAATAAAAAGGTGGAAAAGAAGACGCCAAGACGACATATGGATGGAGCTGATGCCCTTTGGTGTGGCAAGAGTGAATAAAAGCGCCACCAATTTGCTGACGGGGTCAGAGCATAATTAAAAATAAATTCACATGTTTGATGACAAGAACAGTGCAGGAGAGGCTGCTTTGATGAGAAATAAAGAATATCAAGCAAGAGGGGAAGGTTACTAACGGCATCGCAGAATAGATGTATTGGCCATGCTTAGGGTTGCTTTTTTTCCCTGCACATTCAGACAGGGATCAGTCAAATTGTAGGCAGCTGGCAGCCAGCAGAAGTAGCCTGCAGCACTGCACTCTAACCACTGCGCCACCCTGGCTCACAGTGATAAATTGCTTAGTAAATATACTCAGGCTGATATTCAGAAGCCGTTCAGCTAACTGTCTTGAGGATGGGGGCAGAAAATTTAAGATGGTAACCACAGCTGTGCAGCTAAAAGCACATCAAGCAGTTCAGACATGTAAAAAAGGAGTAGGGGGTCAAACACAGGATTGTGGCTGCCATCTTGTTTTTCTTGACCTCCTTCAAGCCCAGACTTTGGGCTTGCCCGAAGTATTCCTAAGGCACTCATCGAGGATCCAGCTTCTATGTAATGAGATATGTCAGATCTGTAAATCAGAAGGATATTCATCATCTAAGATGGTGGCACTGTAAATTCTGAGAGGTTTGCTGCTGGAAAATTGCAACAAACCCTCATTTAAAAAATTGTGAAATGAAATTAAACAAGAGGACCAAGCATTCTCAGTGGGTGTAAATCACAATGACCAAGCATTCTGTTTTACTTTGTAAATTTTGGCTCATCTAAAAAAAAGTAAGCAGGCTTGGAGCCTGGAGAGAAAGATTGTATATGATTTGTGTGTGTGCGTATGTGTGTGTGAGACACATATATTTGTAGTGAGGGGTTAATTTGCTTCAAAATAATGGTATTTCTTAGTTTGGGTAATGAAACTGCAACAAAACAAACCAATCTCAAATGTCTATGGAGATTCTATTAGAGTACTAATAACCAGATGACTGCAAAGAAATATATTCCTTCCATTCTCCCCCTGCACCACCCTGCCAGAACTAACCCTTTCATCTCCCCACCACCCACCAGAACTGATGAAGCTTCTTGGATGAGAGGTGAAATGTCTTCTTCCTCAAGGGGGGGGGGGAAACATAGTCCAATTGCCTTTTGCAAAAGAACCTTTGAGTCAACCCAACTCAGAGCACAGCAGCAACCCTCATTTCAATCCTGAGCTACAAATATTCTCCTTTGTTGATATACACTACTCAAAAAAATAAAGGGAGAACTTAAACAACACAATGTAACTCCAAGTCAATCACACTTCTGTGAAAACAAACTGTCCACTTAGGTAGCAACACTGATTGACAATCAATTTCACATGCTGTTGTGCAAATGGAATAGACAACAGGTGGAAAGCATAGGCAGTTAGCAACACATCCCCAATAAAGGAGCGGTTCTGCAGGTGGTGACCACAGACCACTTCTCAGTTCCTATGCTTTCTGGCTGATGGTTTGGTCACTTTTGAATGCTGGCGGTGCTTTCACTCTAGTGGTAGCATGAGACGGAGTCTACAACCCACACAAGTGGCTCAGGTAGTGCAGCTCATCCAGGATGGCACATCAATGCGAGCTGTGGCAAGAAGGTTTGCTGTGTCTGTCAGCGTAGTGTCCAGAGCATGGAGGTGCTACCAGAAGACAGGCCAGTATATCAGGAGACGTGGAAGAGGCCGTAGGAGGGCAACAACCCAGCATCAGGACCACTACCTCTGCCTTTGTGCAAGGAGGGACAGGAGGAGCACTGCCAGAGCCCTGCAAAATGACCTCCAGTGGGCCACAAATGTGCATGTGGCTGCTCAAACAGTCAGAAACAGACTCCATGAGGGTGGTATGAGGGCCCAACGTTCACAGGTGGGAGTTGTGCTTACAGCCCAACACTGTGCAGGACGTTTGGCATTTGCCAGAGAACACTAAGATTGGCAAATTCGCCACTGGCGCCCTGTGCTCTTCACGATGAAAGTAGGTTCACACTGAGCACATGTGATAGACGTGACAGGGTATGGAGGCGCCGTGGAGAACGTTCTGCTGCCTGCAACATCCTCCAGCATGACCGATTTGGCAGTGGGTCAGTAATGGTGTGGGGTGGCATTTCTTTAGGGGGCCACACAGCCCTCCATGTGCTCGCCAGAGGTAGCCTGACTGCCATTAGGTGCCGAGATGAGATCCTCAGACCCCTTGTGAGACCATATGCTGGTGCGGTTGGCCCTGGGTTCCTCCTAATGCAATACAATGCTAGGCCTCATGTGGCTGGAGTGTGTCAGCAATTCCTGAAAGACGAAGGCATTGATGCTATGGACTGGCCCACCCATTCCCCAGACCAATTGAGCACATCAGGGACATCATGTCTTGCGCCAACCACCACAGACTGTCACAGGAATTGGGGGATGCTTTAGTCCAGGTGTGGGAGGAGATCCCTCAGGAGACCATCTGCCACCTCATCAGGAGCATGCCCAGGCATTGTAGGGAGGTCATACAGGCACGTGGAGGCCACATACACTACTGAGCTTCATTTTGACTTGTTTTAAGGACATTACATCAAAGTTGGATCAGCCTGTAGTGTTTTTTCACTTTAATTTTGAGTGTAACCCCAAATCCAGACCTCCATGGGTTGCTAAATTTGATTTCTATTGATAATTTTTGTGTGATTTTGTTGTCAGCACATTCAACTATGTAATGAACAAAGTATTTAATAAGAATATTTCATTCAATCAGATCTAGGATGACTTATTTTTGCGTTCCCTTTATTTTTTTGAGCAGTGTATTTGTAGTGGAGAAAATGGATGTGCTGTAGGAAGTCACCATAATTTCAATGAAACAGTTCAGCAACATATTGTACTACTGAGTATCAGTTGCTGAAAGGAGTGGTCGTAGAAAAAAGTTGGTGTCTGTAGGCTTCATGAAGAGACACCTGGCTGGTCCTAAATGGAGCAAGATGCTTTCAGTATAATCTGGATGGGATGATTTAGAATAGAATAATAACATAATTAAATTGGAAGGGACCTTGGAGGTCTTCTAGCTCAACCCCCTGCTTAGGCAGGAAACCCTACACCACTTCAGACAAATGGTTATCCAATCTCAAGAACTTCCAGTGTTGGAGCATTCATAACTTCTGGAGGGCTATGATGGCTATGCTTCTATTCTAAAACAGGAACTTGGAAACCAAAGTCAAAATACGCAGGACATCATCCAAGGAAGCCTTTGAATCTGACTCTGAACCAATGCAACGTCCAAGGTGTTCTGCTTTTGCATATACCTACACATACACACACACACACACACACACACACACACCCGTTAAACCATACGGTGAGATGAAGGACCTTCTGGTACTCGAAGAGGGCTAAAATTCAGCCACAGGATGAGAAAGAGGAAAAGGAATAAATAAAGAGGCTTTAACTCACCGGCCATTTGTTGAATGCCACTGAAGGCACCCAAGTTACTGGAGGATGTTGCTTGCTGCAGAAGCTGCAAATTAACAGTAACAACATCAATGGGGTTAATAACGCAACAAGTTAAGATTAAAGCAAAATTATCTGAATCAAATTAAATTTGGGATACTTATAGTTTCCTTTACATTTATACAGTCTCTTGCTTCTGCCTGGTGTTGGAATGAAGGTCCCCAGAGCCGATGCTGTAAATCCATATTAATGTCTAATCTCTATTAAGAAACACACAGACACTGGGGAAACTCAATAACATTGCTGCTTTAAAACAATTAATCAATTTACTCTTTTTTAACTGCCAGGTGCTAAATCTATTTCAGCTCAACATAGTGTGACTAATCATTGCCCTCTGCAGTCTAGCAGTCAGCATAACTCATCCTGGTTAACCACAAGAGTATTTTTTTTTTCCACCTCCCCACTTAAAAAGAGAAGCTGGTTTCCTTAACATGGTTTGTAGGACTGGTTCTGAAAAACGCACAACCTGACAATGGGCTCTTCTTTTTCACAGAGTTGTGTTCACACAGGGAACCAAAGCTGATCTGCAAGTGAGTGCGCTATTTTGGTAATCCAACTGTATACCATATTCACCTTGTCCAGGGGTGTCAAACTCACATCGTCACATGACATACCGCAATTTTCCCCTAAACTGGGCGTGGCCAGCATGTGATGCATCTGGCCCGCAGGCCGCGAGTTCGACAGCCTTGGCCTAGGCGCAACCAGTTGATTTTTAATGGAGGCAGTTGATATATTCAGTTGCCAATCATCATTGCTGAGATACTGTATCAGGGAACAATCTTGGAATCAATTACTGGTCATACACATACTTGAGTTCCCACACTGGCTATCTCTTGGTTTGTTTATGTCAACCCTGAAGCTGACCTGACCGCAGCCATGTTGATGCTTCAGTGTTGCCACACTGGAGCTGAGGGATAGGGAGGGGGTGGAGCTGGGGTTTTGTAGTCAAAACAAAACACTTTCCCCTGGGAACCAAGGACATTCTAACACCTGGCCAGAGAGAGAGGAGGAGCGATGTTACCAGGTGACCGGATGGCACCTTGATTGGACCATGTGACTGATTGTTTGGGGAAGGGAAAAAAACTTTCACTTTTAATTAGGTGAAAACCACAGGACCCTTCAGAGTTGGTTTTCACCAGGACTGTGCCAATATGATATATCCAATAAAACTATTCTTTGAGGAATCTATACCTGCCTCGGAGTTTTGTTTTCTATGGGTGCATTACTTGGAACCCTGATAGTTTAATCATGGCTTCCTGGATAACCCACATTTGGTTGGGATCACAACATAGGCTAGGTCAATATCACTTACAAATCACAATGGCTGGTTTCACATAACATGTTAAAATAAGACAAAGCATGTTGGAGCTTATTGCAATGTGTGAAGAAAGCTACAGAAATATGAAACCATTTTTTCATTGGATCAGTGATGATTCCAAGTGACATGTAATTTGTAATAACAGAGGTAGCCTCCTTGGGTAAGGTTTCATTATGAATGAAAAACTTAAATATACTGTATATGAAAAAGAATTATCAATGAATGGGGATTAGGAAGGAAGTAGGGTTATAGTGAGCATTTTGGGAAAAGTTGTCCAATTTTCTGAATGAATGAGATGCAGGAGAGAATCTGCTAGGTGATATGAATGGGATGGGGAAAAAAGACAGATTAATCCCCCCAACAGAATTAAGGAAAGTGACGGAGGAGGAGAATGTGTGGAATCTGCTTGGAACAGAATGAAATGAATTATGCTGCAAAGTGCTGCAGAAGTGTGCGGAGTTGCACTAATGAGAAGTATGAAGAAGGATGGTGGGTGTGATGATGAAGTGAGGGAGGTTGAAAAAAATGTGAATAAAAGGAAAACAAGAGAGAAAGACATGGTATAATGTGTATAGAGAAGAAAAGAGTAATATGACAAAGAACGGAACGGAAATTAATGCTATAAATCTCTGTGCTGAAGGGAAAAACGATGACAAGAAAGTTGTAAATACTGGGAAAATGTTGAAAAATGTATGGCTAATAGATGGTGTAACTGGGCTTGATTTGTTACGGTGCGCCTATCTATTTGTGTAACTTGTATGCGAAGAGAGCATCTATGATAAACTACTAGATAATGCCATTATTGTTGTCTTATTTTTTGCAGCGGATGCAAAAAAAAATACAGTGTATCAGTTTGCTAAGCATGGAAAATGCATTTGATGAATAGTTATCAGAGATGAGCAAAATTTGGGAAATGCCTTTATGCTGTGCTACAGATGTACTGCCTAGATTTTTGGATTTCAGCAGATCACTGAAAACGCGAATGTAGGCATGCTTGCTTCGTTGATTTAAAGAACGCATATACACTTGAATTGTTGAATGTTGAAAATCCATTGAATCTTCATACTATGGAATTAATTGCTGACTATCAGAATTAGTCCTTTTGAATGATTCAACATCAAACATGTAATAAGACCTGAATGTTTGACTTAGGGACTTAGTTATTAATATAACAAATATAAATGGAAAGCTTATGATGACATTAAAAGTATTTTGAGTGGGCATGAGAATGAGTGGGTATCTTTATATCCAAATGATGTTAGAGGTTAAAAACCCAAATGATTGTAGTGAATATTAAATTGTATGATGCACAGAGGATATGGATTTGAATATGGCAAAAAGTAATATGAATCTGTGTGTGTTGGTAGAGTGATTGCTGAAGTTGGTGACAAGGAAGGAAGGAAGGAAGGATGGAAGGAAAGAAAGTTCAGACTTGCAAATGCTAGTAAAATTATAATAGGTAGTATGTGATTTGTATGACAAATGAAAGCTTGTTCAATGCTTGGCAACTTAAGACTTGTGGACTTCAACTCCCAGAATTCCCCAGCCATCATGTGATAGTTGAAGGCTACGAGTCTTAAAGTTACTACTTCAATTCCCAGAATTCTTCACTCAGCATTCTGGGAGTTGAAGTCCACAAGTCTTCAAGTTGCCAAGATTGGACATTCCTGATCCACATCATTTAATGGATGTGAGAATTAGGCATGTCAGATGAACCACAAAGTAAGATGAATTTCTGTGGGAATGGGTTAGTTTAGATGTGCATGCAGTAAAAACAGGAAGAGATGGGATCGAAGATCTCTGGGAAGAGAGAAAAATGATGAGATTATTCAGTGATACAGATAGGATGATTGAGAATAAAACTGCAAAAAAATACATGGAAGAAGAGTTTGCGGACCTAAAGAAAGGTGAAGATAGGAAATCTTGGTTGCGTGGAATGGAGGAGATCCTGAAAAAAAAGCAGAAAGGTATAGAATTTCAAGGGCCAAAACAAGGAGGTGCACATTATGGATGTTCATGTAAAATAAAGTTAGAGTTCATTTTCTTTTCTTCTAACTTCTGCTTCCAGTTTCTTTTGCCTAAAGAGATTTGCATGTCCCACAGTGGAGATCAAAGCTTACCCTAAGTTTTGTAAAATGTCTTATTCTGATTGATGTCCCAATGAATACTGAAGGTCTATTCTAATGTTGTTGTCCTGATCCTTCAAACCAAACTGTCATTCTAAGTTGCGAGCCTCATGGAAAACCTGGTTACAATACAGCTAATTATCACAGTTTGATCAAAGCAGGCAGTTACTTATGCCGCTTAATACATGAGTGGAAAGGCGAGGAAAAAAGGTGTTGTAAAAAATGCATTGGTTAACTGGAAACCTGAACCATCTCGCCAAGAAAAAAAAAATCTTTTCAAATTGACATTCAATTATGAAATTTAAAATAGCTGTATTGAACGAAAGCCCACAATGCCACTCCTGTGTACTGATGCTGCATTCAGAAAATATAATTGTGGAGCTTGGCCCCTTTTATCTAAATGCACAGCAGGGAAAGGCGACAGTGGTAGGGGAAAGTGACAAACAACATAATTCAGATCATTGAGAAATTTAGATAATTATTTTTCCCCTCCTGTGTAGAAGACTGCCGTTGAACATTTTCATATTCATTAATTCCGTATATTCATGAACAGCCAATGTCAATCATGATGTAATGGGTGTAGAATTACTTCAGATCTGAAGAACTTGAGATCTTGAGGTGTGCAGAAGACAATCAGGTCTTCAAACACAGATCTGGAAATGCTCAGGTACACAGGGATAGGAGGAAATAACTTGAAGAAAGAATTTGAGAAGGCTTATTATTTGTCCCCACAAGATTCCCCTGAACTGTTGCTTTTTTTTTTTTAACCAAACTTGTAAAGTCAATATGACGGAAAACATATTTAAACCATCATGGAACATAGACTTCTATTCTTCATCGGTATCTAGTGATGGGTTAAGGAAAACTTAACAGGCAGGAACAACAGAAATTCTTCAAGTCTCAAGGCCTCCTTCTCAACCTTCCCACTGAATTTAGATGGCAGTTTCCATAATTCCCAGCTGGGAATTCTTGCAATTGTATTTCCAGCACATTTTAAGAATACACAGTTGCTGTAGGTTGGACTAGCTATATAGGTCCTCTCTCCCGGATCAAATCTTGAATATTTCTTCTTTCGCAGGGAAGTGATGTGTTTGTATCCATATCTCTGCAGATCGGGTGAACCATGTAAAGCTGTATGAAGGCTTATTTGTTTGGCTGTCACATGTTATGTGAAGTCAGGAATTGTGATTTTTGTTAATCTGGGTTTCAGAAGGCAGCCAGCCAGTCTTCAGTTGACCCGATTAAGTGTGTTGTATTAAGCGAATCTAACCATTCCATTTTACAAGAAAATATACATGTGGTTTACATGTAAACCACATACATGTGGCACATGTAAATGGGAAAAGATTTTAAAAAATGGCCTTGCCACCAGGCTGCCAAAAGTAAACTGACAAATGTTGCTTAGAATAACATCATTCTGGCAAAACAGCTCTAATTATATTAATACCTGCTTCTTACACTGAATTTGAAAAGCAAACATCTATGTACACTATCATGGTGAACCAATTGTAGAAGAGATTTATTTGTCAAAGAACTGGGTTTTCCCATGGTCTACATACATGCTAAAACAATGGTTACCTTCACCTAATGTACTTAACTGATTCTTAAGTTGCCCATTTTGTGGACTTGTGCAATAATCAATCCTACACTAATCAATAATTTTACAATTTATTAAGTTGTGTACACATACACTCACAAAATAAGTAAAGAAATCAAGCTTAGCTTGTCATGTGAATGCAGCCAGTCAGTCTTCATTTGACCTGGTTAAGTGTGGACACAGCTAAAATATAATCCAAATAACCTCACCTAAAAATATACCAGCCACTGAATATCTCCATATGACAAAAAGTTTGGAAATTGATTTCTCATTCCAAAAACACTAAAATACAAATCCAAAAACACTAAAATAGAAATTATACCCATGCTTTATCTAATGCAAAAAAGGCTCTGACATAACAGCCTAGATTAAGATAAAATGAGGTTAGATAGTTAGTGGCTTAGCATTTGCTAAAAATCCTGCCATATTGGGTGAACTAGGCTATCCTATGAAGCCAGAATATAACTTATTTTTCTTAGCATATGTGAACACAGGGTTTGTTTTGTATTAGTTAAAGCACTGAGAATAAACTGTTGTGTGAATACATTTTGAGCACTAAACTATTCTAATTTATTTCATAAAAAATGTTGCCTGTCCATCCAACACTCTTAACCAAGTCAGTAATAGCCCTTAGAGGTTGCATTCACATTTCCTTAGTGCTTAATTGTTTTGTGTTGTGTAAATGCAAGCCATTATTTCATTATTCAGAGGGTGCTGAGCCCAAAAGAGTGCATTTTTGCTGACAATTCAAGGTTTGGTTGCTTGACATAGAAGTGTTGTCAACTTTGGACTGAACCCGGCTGCAGCCAACTTTCTGTTCCTCAATTGCCACACAAGTGGGGGAAGGGGAGGAAGGAGGTTGGAATGCATTACTAGACACAGCACAGAGTTTCTCCTGAAAATCAAGGTCATCTCTACTGGCAACCAATAAGGTTGGGGAAGGAGTGCCTGAAGAACCTGACAATTAACCCAGTTGGCCAACCTGACCTGTGACACTTGGGGATGTTTAATTATACTAAAACCACGGGAAAGATTTAGATTTGGTTTTCCACTGAAGCTGTGCTGATATGATGTACTTTGAGAAAGAGCCAAGTTTCAAGAGATCTGATTTGCTTTGGTTCTGCCTTGACAAGTGTATTATGCACATCCAGAAAATGGGATTGTGGGAAAGGGGAGAGACAAAATAGACAAGTGCGATGCTAGCGTTTGTGTGATGTTCTTTTGGCATCAGGGCAGTTTCAGAGGGTGCTGAGCCCAAAAGAGGAAGCATCTTGTGTGAACACAGCCATTGTGAAGCCAAATTTCAAAAAGAAAAGTAGGATGATGTATGAGAATGTGTGAAGCGCACAGAGCTTCTACCAAATGTTTCCGGGTCAGGATTCCAAAAATTAAGAGAGAATCGATGGCTTCTTTATTGAACCCATTAGTACAACCTGAACATGTCTACTTAGAAACAAGTCCCATTGAAATCAATGGGCCTTATTTCTGGGTAATGAGAGATACAGTCAGTCCTCAAATTACAACAGTGCATTTGGTGACTGTTTGAACATAAAACGGCACTGAAAATATTGTTTTATGACTGTTTTGTCACGCTTACAAAGGTCTCAGCACTCCAATGGTCACATGATCAAATTTCAGATGCCTGCAACTGAGTCGTATTTATGACAGTTGCAGTATCCTGGGGTCATGCGACTTTCTGCCACGCAAAGTCAATGGGGAAGCCAGATTCACTTTTAACAATCCTGTTACTAACTTAACAACTGTGGCAAGAAAGGTCATAAAATGGGGCAAAACTAATTTCACTACTGCCTCACTTAGCAACATAAGCTTTGGGCTCAATTGTAGTCATAAGTCGAGGACTACCTGTTTTTGAATGTCAACCGTGTTCTTCCCCAAAAGGCGCTTTTACAAAAGGCAACCAGACTTCCTTTGTCCAGCCACCCTTTTGAAAAGTATCTTTGGGACAACCGTGACTAAAAATCTCCATACTAGAGGACTGCATTCTTCATGCTTGACCTGGTGACTGAATTAACTCATTTTCTAATTTTGAATTATACGTTGAATAAACCCACTGCTTTCACACAATACGCTGTGCCATGTAGCAAGTAAGTGAGCCATTAACCAAGCTGAGCCTGTTGTGTGAATGCAGCTTCTAAAATTTGAAATTGAGCTGGTTGGTATAGACACCCTTTATCTGAATGGCAGAGATTCAACTTTCAGTGATGCATGTTCTTAAAGGGTCTTAAGCTATTGGAAGAGATATACAGAATTCATAAGAAAAAAGATAAAAATGTAGACTTTACATCAATGTCTAAAACATCTTCAGTGGTGTAAAAGCTCAGAAGTGCAGTTAAATATGCAAACATCTCTATCTGCGTACTTGAAGGGACATCCTCAGAATACAATCATTCACCCAGAAACTTCATCTATTAAAATGTGACAGCATCAATTGGAGGAAATCTCACTGTAATCTTTTATCTTAATCTCAGATATTCTTTCACATCCCTTGCAGGACAATTTGATGCAATGAATTCATTTCCACAACCCTTTAATGATAGAGATGCTCCCTGCTTTATTTAAACCATACCCACTTAACCCAGCACGGCAAGCCTGCTTTGAAAATATTGTAAATATTGTAAATAAATGTGATGATTACTTACAGCCAGGTACTGTGGGGTAAATCCTCCAAGGCCTGTAAGGTTTCCCCAAGTGGCAGTATTGAGCTGTTGCATTTGTTGTGCCAATTGCTGTTGTAAACGTCTTTGCTCTTTGTCCTTTTGGGTATCAGCAAACTTCACGACAATTGGTGAAGAACAGCCCTGTGGTTGGACAGATTGGTGGGGAAAAAGGTCTATCACACATTTCCAGCTAGGTGGCAGCACCTAGCCGACCTTGGCTGATCTCAGACCTGGTTAGTATTTAAGAGAGGAGGCCATTGGGGGTGGACTAGCAGCGTTGACTTGCCTGAGAAGTCAAAAATACAAAATATCTTGGGAGATCACTTCTGTGCTGTTGTCAGGAAAACTTCACAAATGCGTTGAGGTAGACATCAGGAGCTGAACTTTGATTGGTGGGAGTATTTACTATGTGATTGAAGAGACGGTGGTTTAAATTTTGGGTCCCTTGTTTAATTTAGAAGGCGGTGCGATGGCTCAGTGGTTAAAGCTGAGCTTGTCAATTGTTTCTTGCTCCAGCTCCTAGCAGTTTGAAAGCATGTAAATGCAAGTAGGTATCACTTTGATGGGAAAATAACAGCGTTCTGTGTGCCTTTGGCATATAGTCATGCTAGCCACATGACCGTGGAAAATGTCTTTGGACAATGCTGTCTCCCTCAGCCAAAAAACGGAGACGAGTACCGTGCCTTAGAGTCAGACATGACTGGCAGGGAAACCTTTACCATTTAATTTAGTTTGGTCTCTGTATCTTTTATCTGAATTGGAAAGAAAACTTCCATTCGCAATCATTTTTAAGGGGCTACATGATGCTTTAGCCATCTTCGGCTGGTATGTGAGGTCAGATTGGTTAGCGCTGGAGGGGATATATTACCAAGCATCAAGTTTGACTCAGACGAGATATTAGAATAATTCTGATACATCTGCATGAGTCTTTTCCACAGTTCTTTTCTTTAAAGGTGTTCTATAATTTTGTAATTGATTATAGGACCCACAACATGTGGATCAGTCAAGGATTTCAGAATCTCAAGGAGTATTGCAGAAGGGGCCCCAAAAGTCAAAAATGGTAGTTGTGGTTGTGGCTGCCACCTCGACATATTTGGTCCCCAAGCCCCATCTGCTGCAAACATTCCAGGTTAGCATGAAGTCTAACACTCACTGCTCAGGAAACTCAGCCCCCGTCTCCATCCCAATATATTCCATACCATGCCTTCCTGCAACATTCTCCAAATCTGCTCCAGAGATTGAGTGAACCTCCAAAGCAGATCAACACATTGGATAGGATGGTATGTAAAGGGGCTCAAACTGCACAACAATTTTTGCAAAGAAATCTATCTAGGTGACATTTTAGCTTAGAAATGGATCCGTTAATTTAGCATTGGTCTCTCTTAATGGTTAATATTTTTTGGTCTTAGTTGTTTTGGCTTTGAGTAATGAGGAAGGAAGAAAGGATGGAAGAGAAAAAGGAAAGAAGGAGGTTTCCTCCCTTTTCCCCATATTTCTCCACATTTTCCAAGTTTGAATATTAAATAAATCTTTATGCTAATCAGATTTTGTACTCTAATTGAGAAGCAGGAATGTCCTGATTTGTTACAGTTTGAAAAAGGAGTTAAAATCAAAACTTGGTTCATCAACTTGTCTTCTTTCTAACCTGACTACGATCTAAGCAGAGTCCTTCGAGGCCAGATTTCATAGAAAGCTCTAGACTTAGGTATTAGAAACAGGTAAGAAACTGTAAGGGAAAAATGGGAAACCTAATAACTTTTGCTTAATTTTATAACCCATAAATTGTTGCTTAGTGAATGTTGGAAATTGTTATGAGGTTTTCTTTCTTTTTTTGCAAACTGTTATCTTTAATTGATCACTCCATTATTTTAAAATAAACCAACATTTTACAGTTCTATAGAATTTTTACCTGAATATGCATATGTATGTGTGTGTGTGTGTGTGTATGTGTTTGTGTGTATGTATGTATGTATATGTATATATATGCATTATATACTATATATATATATATATATTTACATACACACACACATAAATATACGAGTTTCACTGCATTTAGTGCAATTTTCAAGGACCTTTGCTTAGGAATGTGCCACAGAATGGTTTAAAACAGGGGTGTCAAACTCAAAGCCTGTGGGCCGAATCCAGCCCATGGAGTGCTTAGATCTGGCCTGAGGGGCCACCCTGGAAAACAAACTAAAAACAAAACAAAAGGGATAAATTTGAGCATGCAAGAAGGGGCAGGAAAGGAGAAAGGGGAAGAGGAAAGGGAAGAGAGCAGGGAAGGAGAAATAAGGAAAGAGGGGAAGGAAGAAGAAGGGAGAATGAAGAGGGAAGGGAAAAGAAGAAAAGGAAGAAAGGAAGGAGGGAAGAAAAGAAGATTATAAGGAGAATGAGAGAGGGTCTGAGGGAAGTCCTCCCTTACCACTTGGCCACCACAGATGACCCCGACATGAGCGACGGCAAGCAGGCCATGCCCCCTCCTGCCCCCCAAAGGTCAAACACAACCTTGATGCGGCCCTCATGAGTTTGACACCCCCGATTTAAAAGAATTTTGTTCCTCTTCATAGTTAAAAAAAAGAGAGCTAATTAATAAACCAGTGCATGTTTTATTTTTTCACTCTAAAAGAGATCTGGCATTCCCAAGAAATAATTGTGCTTTCATATAGTATCACTGTCTATCCTGCGGGTGTGGGGCCATTTATATCCAGCTTGCAAGCCAAACACTTAGAAAGGGATCACTTTGTGATATGTGCATTCTGTCTTTATACAGGCAGTCCTCATTTAGCATCTGCCTTATTTAGTGACCTTTTGCAGTTGCAACAAAGAAGAAAGAGTAACTTTGCAAACCGTTCCTTGGCTTTAGAACCTTTGCAGGGTTATAAAGCAAAGGAAAGTATGAGGTAAATCCAGAGGGTTCACTTAATGACTACTTCACTTAATGTCCAAGTGGCTGGTCCCAACTCTGGTTGCTAAAAGAGGACTACTGTACCTAGCATCCACAGGATATGGAGTTCTGTGCAGAAAATGCCTCTGATTGAAATTAGATGTTGGTGACTTTTGAGAGGCAGAAGAATTCATTGCTTAAATTATTTGGGGAAAAATAAAAGTATTTGTAGAGAGATGGGAAGTAAAAATTAGGTAAATGCACAGAAGTAGAGGGGTTACGTAGGCTCACCCTGGCATGAACTTGGCTTCCCCTGGGCATCTTAAAATATTAATGCAAAACCTGTTCTATGAAACCTGCAGAAGATCCCAACTTCCCCAGGTTAAAAGACAGAAAAAGAACATTGATCAAAATCTAGTTCATGGAAGAGCTCTTAGAAGAAACAAGGCAGCTTCCAACAGATCTACGTGTAGCTCTTCAAATCTTTTCCAAAAGAAGCAGAAATAAATTTCAGGGACACGAACATGAGATGCTTTTCCCAGACAATGCCTGCAGCTCTCCGTTTCGTGTGGCATCTGATATTCTATTTATGGATGCTTAACCGGCTGTAAATCGTATAATACATTACAGAAGTATTTGATGAATCTATAATTTCCCTACACCCCCCACCCCCCGTGTCATATTTCATCTGGGTAGCAATTTGAATAGAACCAACCTCATGCAGATTGAAAACATACAAATCGAAACGGCTCTGAATAAAAAAAAAAACAGGGTGGCTGTAACCTATTTGTTCCATCGTTAAAAAAAAAAAAGATTTCTCTAAGTGCATGAATATATAAACTCACATATATCCCTAATGAGATTAAAATGTGGCAGTAACCACAGGTTTATAAAGCACATGATTACAAAAATAGGGGTGTAAACAGCCACGAAAAAGTTATTTATTTTGAAGATGTCTGTTTTTCAGTATGTTTTTTGGGGTGGGGTGGGGGAAGATATTGTTCTCTTATTGAAAACAGGAAACTGAGTCCTAGGTAACTTTCATCTGAAACCGATCGTTTGATGTATATTCTACTTTTTGAAAATAATGTTCTTTGCATTAAAAAATCCAGCCAAACAGCCTAGGAGAAATATAAGTTTCCTGTCGACTATCCAGATTGGATATTCTTTGTTGAAAGTCAACTGTTTACTGCAGGCGTGTCGAGATTAATGGTCAAGGAGAATAAAGAAAAGCCGCTGAATATTTAGCTGCTTTTTCCAGTTTGGAAGCTTCCAGGTATATTGAGATGGCAACTTTCAAATTTTCTAGTCAGCATGGGTGGGAAGCATGGGATCTGTAGTCCTATCACACCTGAAGAACAGCAGAGAGGTAGAAGCCAAGCTAAATGAATAGTATTATTCCTTTTGTTATTGAGACTTGTTATCTATAGTTGAGAAGCCTTTCCTTCCTTCCTTCCTTCCTTCCTTCCTTCCTTCCTTCCTTCCTTCCTTCCTTCCTTCCTTCCTTCCTTTGCTTTCCTTCCCCAAGAAAATTATAATATATCTTGACTTTTTAAATACAGTAATTAAAAAATATATTTAAAAAATCCTGAGAGACAGGCATTTCACCAAAAACATACAATGTTCAACAAAAACATACAACATGCAGTATGCTTTATACATATACATATATAAAGCATACTGCACAAGAAGCAATTCATATTCACACATTATGTTTTGGCCCATTTGTACCAGATTTCTCCTCTAGAGCTGTTTCTATTACCAGTATTACGTGTGGAAAGGCAATTACTTTTTGTTCTTTTGTTTTCTTGATTCTTGATTTTCACGAGAGCCACGCTAAAGCCAACTGGGGCAAATGTGAGCACCATCCTCCTATGAAATTTGGGATATTTTGCCTTTTGATGGAAACGTTGCTCCCTGGGCATTGTCAAAAGGTACTAGATAGAATTTGCATGGAGAAGTAAGAGTGCCAAGCTTGACTTGAAACTGACAAAATGAAATACAGGTAGTCCTCGACTTACATCGGTTCGTTTAGTGACCAAAGTTACAACGGCACTGAAAAAAGTCACTTATGACCGTTTTTCACAATTGCAACCATTGCAACATCCCCATGGTCATAGGATCAAAATTCCGACACTTCTGTCTCACTTAGCAAGATAAATTTTGTGCTCAATTGTGGTCGTACATTGAGGACTACCTGTACAGTGATAAAGTCCCTCCAGAGCAGATACGAGGACTTTCTTCCCTGGGCAAATATATGCTGTATAGATGGTTTTGCAAAAACTATGGCCGACAGAATGTGGTGTGATGTAGGATATAATGGAAGCAGCTTTCCAGATTAGAGCAAATCAATAAAGGAGAATGTTTGTAGCTCAGGGCTGAAAGGAGGGGTCCTTGGTGCTCTCTGAGCTTGGTGGTTTCCCTGCAGATGTTGTATTACCCAACTGGGTAACATCATCAGTGGACTGATTCTCAGTGCAGGATGCTTCAGATTAGAGCACAGCACCCAGTCTGGATGCTCCAGGTTCCCTTATTCACATTTTTCAGGTTGAATGCATCGTCTTCCTTCAAACTTTAACCAAATAGCATGGAATAATGAAATATGTTTAATTCATGCCAGATAGCATCCATCAGTCTCGTGAGGTGCTGTTACCTAGAAAAGGGTAAAGAATCCTTCTTGGTTGTCCTAGAGAGCAGGAATGGAACTAACAGCTTTAAATCACAGGGTGCTTGCTTTTAACGGAACATTAGGAGAAATATGCTGATGACAAAAGTAATTTTAAAAAGGAACCACATGGTTTAAGAGTGTGCTTTTGCTCTGGAATTGCCTTATCCAAGGGAGTTGAATTACAGCAGTGTTTTTCAAAGTTGACAACTTTAAGGTGTGTGTATACCAACTTCCAGAATTCCTCAGGCGGCATGCTTAAGAGGCATTCAAGGAACACACCGGCTGGGGAATTCTGGGAGTTGAAGTCCACACATCTTAAAGTTGCCAACTCTTAAAGAAACTCAACAAGATGGTGCACAATCCATGACCTCTGCTTCTTCTTCTGTGAAACTTCCATCTTTAACGGGTGTTTTTTTTTCATTAACTGGGGAATGGACCAAACAACTTTTTTCAGTATTGAAAACACATCCAAAACTGTGGGTCTCTATATCTCGGATTGCCTGTATTGTTGTAAAAATGAGATTGGAGAACTGCCTGTTGATAGCAGGATGGAGAGAACTCAAGGGAAGATGGCCAAAACATAACATGGGAATATCCCTCATAAGCCTATCTTATAGGAGGATTTTTTTGTGTGTGTAACATACAAAATGCCCTGCGTGAACAGTTGATGGCTTCCCGCCACCCTTCTAGCAGATGATAATATCAGTTTCACAACTAATCCTGTCCTATGTGACCTTATCTCTTTGTCAGTGAGCCACCATTCTGTATAATGGCACAACAGCCATTTCAGTTGTTGTAATTGTACTGGACACAAATTGGCACCTCTGCTAATCCACAAGGTCAATATTCTCCTAGAGGGTGCCATGCCTTAGGAGCAGGAAGATTCAAGTTACCATCAAACTTTGCCAAGGTAGCCAAGATCTGTGTGGGAATCCCCCCCCCCCCCCCCAAAAAAAATGGATAGTTCCCAGGGACCCAGGCCAGAATCCTTAATATTGTCTTTGGGTTTTTTTCTTGCAAAATTATCATAATGTTTTAAAACTTAGGCAAATAAACATTGATTTCAAGTCTCTGAAATTTTCAATCAAAGATATGAGAAATATGCATCTAGCTAACCTGTCATCTGTCTGTCTATCTAT